GTTTTTTTTTTTTTTTTGTTTCAATTAGTCTCATAGACCTTTTTCCAAAATCTAAAGCAATATTAGGTTCTGTCTTTTTTTAAAAAAAATCGATCTTAATTATTCGGAATAAATTATGGAATTAAGAAAATAACCACTAGAATGTCTTTGGTTTTGATAGTTGATTTCCTAAAAATTGAAATTAGCTCATCTTTTCCCCCATTTGGGCATTAAGCGTCCAACATTTAATTCCATTTTTGAAATCAGCCCCTCCCCCGCTCTCCCCCTTTACCTTTCACTCTGTCTATAACAGTGCCAGAAAGATTTGCACTAATCCTATTCACTTTCGTAATTGAAATAGTTTATTTATTCTAATATTAATATTATTAACAAGTGCAATACAGTTTGAACAGAATTACTTGCAGTTTTTTTTTTTTTTTTGGGGGGTGCAGAACTACTTGCAATTCGAACAACACTAGCATAAAATATTTGCTCTAAAACACTAAACCTCACCCCCCGCCAAAAAAAAAAATGTTAACGAATTTTCTATTCAAACTATTTGGGACTATAGAGTCAAATAGTAAATTAAAACACTAAATTTAAGACAAATAACATATATTGTGAAATTATTTAACTTGACTCTAGTGTCCAATAGTATTGTAAATGTTTCCCGACAATCTTCATCATTTATTTAAGAATCGGAAAATGCTGGTTGGTATTTTCTTCACTTATAGTGTTGCATTATTTTGAAAAATAATGAAATAAGATGCAAAGTGTTTTGATTAGAAAGGAGGAAATTCGGTGTCAACATAAATAAGAAACACAACCGTGTTTTTAATCCAAGAAAAATTAGAGAAGAAAATGTTTTGACAGATCTGGTGAAATTAGTACGTGAGAGAGAGCGCGCGCTTTTAAACTATTTTTAGTTTATTTGGGTGTTTGACAGAGGAAAAAAAAGTACTTAATTTAAGTCAAAAGGTTCAAAATGGCTTTTTAGCTTAAAAGTCATTTTCCTTTGACCTATGATTTTACCATTTTATGCCATAAATTTTCCTAATCCTACAATACCCCTTACTAACAAAATCCCTAGACCCTGTCCCTTTTTTTTTTCTTCCTCCTCCCATCTCTGCTATATTTCTTTTCCTCTCTTCCTTTCCTCCATCTCTACATCCCTTCTGTCTTTCTACTTGCGATTTCAACTCGGTGAAGTCCTCAGAGTTAAAGAATAATACAAAAAATCGAAATGGGTATTTCAGGAAGAAGCTTTTATGCATAGTTAAGCTCCACAGGTGAATAGATAACCCACCTTTAATAAAAATTATCTCTTGTATTGAATGTAGATTTTCTCATATGTTTTTCATCGATAGAAGGTTTCCATAATGTTGGCATGGTGTAACTTTTGTCACGCCACCAATTAGTGCAATGTTATGTATGAAATCCTACTTCCTGGAAAAGTTATTAACAACCGAAAGAATTGAAGAACCACTGGAGGATTACACCATACACTCACAGAAAGATCTTCAACCAAGATGTCATATACTATCACCGGAGGAAAAGCCCTGAATCTATCAACCATGGAAATTATCAGTAATCAACAAATTATTCGGAAAGAGAATAGCAAAACAATATTTCAAACAAAAGATTCTTCAGTTATGGAAGCCAACCGAGGGTTTTCCATTATTGGTCTTGGTGAGGATATCTATATAGTTGAATTCCTAAAAGAAGAAAATATGAGCCGAGCCTCACACAATGGGCCTTGGTTTATTGATGGGTTTTTTCTGTAACTTTGTAACAACAGTACCTGCTCTTTGTCGATAAACATATCTGCTATCTATACAGGTTATATATTTACTCCCACCCCTTGAACCAGTTATGCATCAATCGCTGTCAAAACTCAATGGTTACAGCTTTGGCCGGTGATGCAGCAGAATCTTTGAAGCCAACCTTCTCACGAGAAAACCTGAGATGGTCGAACTGCAATGTCTGCAACTAATCTTGTATTGCCTTCTTCATTCTGAAGCCTATACCTAATCTGGTGCATAGACATTGCTAAAATTGCTCGAAAAGAAAAAACACCAACCTATCTGCAGCGTCCAATCAGGAACGAACTTGGTCAAAGAATCCGCCAGAACATTTATGTCAGTTAACAAGAGTTCATGCCACAGCATCAGCCTGTCTTCTTGTTAATCGAGCATACAAGCCATCCTTGAGGAGAAGCTCTTTGTGGCCACCCATCTGAATGTAGCAAAAGTAAGATCAGAGGTTGATCATCCAAATCAGAGTTACTAAGAGTGATTAGAGCCAGGAGACATGCGATATGACCAAAACTTAATTGAGAGAGGCAGGCAGCTCTTAGCTATGAACAGAATGAGAACCTCCAGATTGCAACATTCCACTCCTGATTGCAACATTCCATGCTTAAGTTTCCAACTTGTTAGATGCTAAATGGACAACTATAGACTAATAGCTCTTCATTTACAAGTACACAAACTTTGGCATCGCAAAACCAGTCCAGAGTGGACCACTGTCATGATGGTAAATGCACTAGTCTTAATGCAGTGCTGCTATGCTAGAGCTGCCTGACAGACTGAATCACACGACATAGAAGCGAAGATCGCAACAAGAAAGGAGACTGAATAATGACGTTAGCTACTCTCACTCTGATAAGTTAAAAGCCATAATTTGTACCTCAACAACTTTTCCACTTTCCATCACAACTATCCTGTCAGCAGCTTGGATTGTCGAAAGCCTGTGAGTAGCAGTTTGTCAATATTACATACTAGTACATGGTTCTGTTGAAAGAACAGAGGCAATTTTACCTGTGTGCAATTACTATGACAGTTCTCTTTGAGTTCAGTTCTCTTCTGACAGAACGAAGCACACCCTATGGGAATTGGAAATGCATATTTAGCGGGCAATTCAACAATCTCTATCAGTTAAACAACTTTTATAAAACACACCTTTACGTTGTGTTCACTCTCTGCATCTAGAGCACTAGTGGCTTCATCAAGCAATAAGATATCTGGATCCCTAAGAATGGCTCTAGCAATTGCGATTCGCTGCTTCTGGCCTCCACTGAGCAAATCATCATCAACAACTGTGTGGTAGCCATTGGGTAGAGATGAAATAAAGTCATGGGCAGCAGCCTCCCTAGCAGCCCATTCTACGTCTTGTTGATTGACATCTCTACTACAGCCGTATCTTATGTTTGAGCTGATATCCATGCGGAAAAGTCTAGGCTCCTGTTCAAGATATCTTAGTAATATGATATTATAAAACCATACTAAACTCAAATTGGGAAAATAATAATTAATAAGGCTAACCTGTCCCACATATCCAATTCTTTCCCTCAACCACTTGATGTCCAAATCTCGAAGTGGGTAGCCATCAATAGATATCTACAGATCCAAAACAAGCAAATTGGAAGAAAATGAAGTTCTTTTTTGTGAGAAAGAAAGGTGGAACAAAAGGTAACTGTTATTGTCAAGGCCTCTTAAAGTGAGATTTAAGCTTGTACAATTTCCTCAAGAAGCGCATGTTATATATTTTCATAATTCAACAGTATTATTTTAACATTGAACAAGACAAGAATTACCTGCCCACTTATCGGCTCATAAAGCCGAAGGAGCAGGTTCACCAGAGTGCTTTTCCCACTACCGCTTAGACCAACCTATACAGCAGATGACATTCATTTCAGAGTCATTGTTACAAATTGATGAATAGAGAAATAAAAATATACACAAATATATATCCAAAAAAAGATGGATAATATACCATACATTTATTTTTCATGCAAGTCACATAGTCACAGATCAGCAGAGATGTGATCAGGCAAAAGCCATAAGCATACCTATGTATTATATTNGGGGATCTACACTTATGCCACACGTCTACGTACTTTTTATCTGTACACTATCTTACACATTATTTGCATAAATTGACTCATGAAGCCGTGTGTAAGGCCCTATAGGTTTTTGAACAGTAATTATGACAGTTACGAGCCTAATGATGTGATTAAAGTATCACAAATGTGTTAGTGATGCCTCACGATGTAGGTAATGCGCTTGGAACATTATACTGGATGATTGGTATGATTTGGAAAGGTATAAGGTTAATAAATAGCAAGAAAGTGTCGAATGAAATTTGGAAACCTAGAATAGGCTACAGTGGTGTCTCGCGGTAAGCTCGAGGCGCAAGTCAATCACGTGGAACCATCACAAGCTTAAAAATGCCAACAATACAGTTAGCCTTACCGCAAGCCAATCGCAAGAATCAGACCTTAGCCATCCAAAGGATCACGCCGCGAGAAAAAAAACTGGCAGGGCAAAGGAGCTCGTGGCTGCGAGAAGCTCCTTACTATAAATACTCCGTGAATTGGGGAAAGAGAAAAGGAAGGGAGAAAGGGGTTAGGGTTGTGAGTTCCAAAGGTCGTACCCAGTCAAGGGGTACCATCTAAGGAAGTGATTTCGAGTATTTTGAGTCAATTATGCTCACTAAATGCTAGTCCCAACATCCATTAATCTTTCATTTCACTAGATTTCAATATCTTCAAGAATCTCCCAAGTATGTAAATTAAGGAATTTGACTACAAGAGGTAACCCCATTACCCAAACTCCATATACGATGTATAGATGAGTATGTAGAAGGTGATTATGAGAAGAAATCATGGTTTGATTGAAGTATTAGTTGAACCCCAGAAGTGGATTCGATGGATGCGGTTGGAATAATTGGGGAAGATGATGAAGAGTAATTGGGAATGTTAATTGGGTGTAGTGACCTAAATGGCTTTGATAACCAAATAAATATATGTGATTAGATTGATGAAGTTAATTTTTTGCCATTAAGGAAGAATTAAGGTTTTGGCTGTCTTGAATCTGATACCCAAGACCCAAATTGGTCATGTTAGTTTATAATGGATATGAATTGATGAAAATGAGTTGTAATATTATATGTCTCACTTCACTTAACGTGTCAGAGCGTTGTTTGAATTGTTGAGGCAAGAGATTGAGGTAAATGGAAACCTAACCTTCCTTGAAGCGTTCACCTCAAAAAATGAACAGTTCAATGATTAGAAATGTGATTTAGAATGTGAATACATGTTTGCAGGAGCAAACGAGTCTGCATTCTCCAAGTTTTCATGCAAATTATGCAAATAAATGCTATATTTTAATATGAAATGGTATAAAATCTATCATTCGATGTTTTATGACTTATGTTTTGAAGGTATGAAAGAACTGAAGTTTATCTCATGATTTAGACTTTAACGAACGAATGTATTGACATGATAATTGGCTTTATGCAAATTATAATTTTCTTATGCATCACATGATTTGTCTGAAAGACTAGACTATGATTCAAATGTGAAGCTTATGATATGTTCAGAAGTTTATGATATGTTTTCATGTTCTAAATGATACAAAGGGACAATGAGTCCCAAAATTAATATATACAAAGAGATAAAAGGGGCCATAATTTCAAAATGAAAATATTTGAAGTAACCTTAGATAGCTGAGAATTGAAAGTATATTTGCTTTCCGTTGACCAACTTAATTATAGGAGAAGAATCAGAGAGTCAAATCTTTAATTAATAGCTTGATTGTAGGACCTTATCAAAAAATAAAACATGTCTGAAGAAGTTCTCTGTGATGTTTGGATCTGGTGTTCTGTTTTAGTGCCTTAGCCTTATCTAGAGAAGACGGCTTAGATCTCCTTTCCTTTTTTTTTCAACAATTGTTCTGGAACTTTGAACTGCTACCTAAATACCTTGACAACTAATCCCATATATTTCAAGGGAACTCTTATGCTACTTTATTGTGCTTCCTTTCTTATCTGAAACAACTGTTCTCTAGATGTAGAATGTCATGGTCCATTTGCCAAATAGTTTTGCGAAGAGATGTTTAATTTCCAGCAAGTTTATGTTTGCTTATTTAGCGTGCTTACAAACGGGAAATAGTATGTGTTGAGGATCAATAAGTATTATCAAATAGAGGACAGTTCAAATTATCTAGGTTGAGTCCCTTTAGGTTTAGTGCAGATTATCTAGATTGGCCATGAAGTTGCACAGAACACACTCAACCTCTCTGGCACTGCCCCTTTCTCTATTTTTAGTGTTTTCCCTTACTCTTCAAGTAGGCGTGCCTTCAAAAAACACAGCAGATGGGGACGATTCCCTTGTACTGCTGATGTATCGCTATCAATGCAATACCAGGATTGTGATAACCTAGTAAGCTTTGTGCTATGCTTTTGGTATTCCTTTCTGTTTATTTGTATAGATCAGATTTTCATAGGAGGGGAGATCTGAAAATTTCATCCCATTGAGGTTAACTTCCATTCTGCTTCTTCATCCTTTTCGACACCATTAAAACCTTAGGAGCGAGCAACAATTGATTTTGATAGAATAAGTTGTTCAACATAAAATAAAATATGGAGTATGCTGAGGGTCTACCGAAACCGCCTCTCTACCTCCTTGGGGTAGAGGTAAGGTCTGCGTACACACTACCCTCCCCGGACCCACTTGTGGGATTTTACTGGGTCGTTGTTGATTGTAGGATAGCTGATTATAGGAAGATTGTACTGTAACTGAATATTCTCTCATTATTTTCGTTTATTTTCTTAGGACTTTTGTATAAATGCATATATCAGTTGGATGTAAAGTATACATTGAAATACAAAGAAGCCTTCTCTTCTTCTCAATTTCATCGAGGTGTCAGAAACCATTGCTGCCCTTTTGAGGTGCATTTTCTCCCTCTGCAGCACTAGGGTTCCATAGGTTGAGTTTTCTCCATCTTTCTTATAGTTTTCTTGCTAAAGTTTCTGTCTAAAGCTTTTTATCTCGCCCTCCGTCAGTTCTGTACAAAAACTGGTACCACTGGAAGGATTATGTCTACTACACGACCTAAAAAAAGTTTCAGATTTTTTCGAATAACATAAGACAAGTCCGCATAACCAGTTAGCCCCGGTAGCCTTTTTTTCAGATTTTGAAGGTTGTTTTGGGTCACCGTGTTCTTCTGTTTAGCATATATATTCTGCAATAAAAAAATTGTGCGCGCTTCAGATTGTTCAAAAATATGGGGGACTCAAAAACAGTAGATTACAATAATTCTGTTTCACATGGTATTAGTATGGTAAAATTGGATGCTGATGGTTCGTATCTTGCCTGGTGTAACGACCCGACCGGTCGTTTTGTGTGCTGTAGCTCCTTTCCCCTATTTATTGCTTTACTTTGTTCACTTGCGGGTTATGTGACTTGCCGGGATGGTTGGATTGGTTTCGGGAAAGTTTTGAAGTGAATTGGGAAACTTAGCACCAAAGTTGAAGGCTTAAGTTGAAGGCTTAAGTTGACTGGAGTTTGACTTTTGTGTAGACGACTCCGGAATGGAGTTTTGGTGATTCCAATAGCTTCATATGGTGATTTTGGACTTATGCGTATGTCCGGATATTGATTTGGAGGTTTGTAGGTTGGTTCGAGGCTTTTTGGCGAAAATTGAAAACTTGAAGGTTTGGAAGGTTAAAAGGTTTGACCGAGAGTTGACTTTGTTGATATCGGGTTCGGATATTGGTTCTGGGAATCAGAATAGGTCCATTGTTTCATTTGGGACTAGTGTGCAAAATTTGAGATCATTCGGAGTTGATTTGATATGGTTCATTAGTTTCTTAGGCTTAAATTGAGTGTGATTCGTGATTTTGACGTGTTGTACAGTCTCGAGTTATGATCGTGTTGAGGGATCTTTCAGTCCAGTTTGGGATGAAATGGATTCTTATGTCTTGTTGACGAGTTTAGACTCGAGAAGATTAAGTGATTGCATGATGGTCGTGGTCATGGTAGGGCGCAGTGAAATGCCAATTTGAGGCTAAGCAGATGGGTTATCTCCTGCGAGGTGATCTACGAATGTGTGATCCTTATGATATTGTGTGAGAGTTTCTTTCTAGCAGTGGATTATATGTGTTGCGATTGAGTAGGATCGGTTGAGAAAGTTGACTTGACTATCTACGAGGGTGAATGCGAGCTTAGCAGATGATTTAAGATATTTTATGGGTTATGTTGCATGAGCTTATGAAGGATTTAGTTGAGTTTCAATACGGGATTATGGTAGTAATAGAGTATGGGTATTGTGAGTTATCGGGTGTTTTGTTCTATGGCCTTGAGCCAAGTGGGAGAGATTGTTATCGACGATTTGATTGCATGGCTAGGTGTTGTATTGGTTTCAGTCTAAGGCATACTTAAGGATCGATTATGACTTGCAGAGGTTGGTCTTCATGATGAGTTAAGCAAGGAGATTTCTGGATGTATGACGTGTTACACCTTATGGATATATAGAAGTCTTGGAATGTTAGGTTTGCTGTTCGTGGTGGATGTAATGTATTAAGAAAAGGAAATCACTAGGTTGCTTAGAGGTGTGGATTACTCTTTTGGGCGTTGGTGTGCTAGTGGGGCACAGGTCGTTCGGCTCATTTTGGGCGGTGCATTTGAGATTTGCACGGGGCGGATAACTCTCTGGAAGGTTCTAAAGAGTTCAAGATTCATATGTGGCATTTGAGAATTTTTTGGATTTGTATATGGCTAAGATTTGGGACTTGCATTGGATGGTGTCGGTAATCGCGGTAATTCTGTATCATTATGGATTTTATATTTCAGCATTTAAGAGGTTAAGGAAACAACTTCATATTCAC